CTCAGATCTTTGCGATTTAAAGTTCTGAGTGGCGCTGCAACTGTTATGGACAGGCGTGTCGTTTACCATCAGGTGCATGACTTGTTCGTCCTGTCGCTTGGTACCATAAAAACAAAACAAAAAGTAGGATGATATTTGTACAATCACGTCGGCGTCGCGCCGGGCCGTTAATGTTTGGCAATGGACGCGTCGTCGACGCTCGGCACGCTGTCGCAACGGAGCGTTTCTTAAGTGCCTGTAGAATGGTAACGTAACATTCAAATAGAGACAGGGAAATGTAAAAGTGAAGGTTTGTTTGGTGGAATATTGGCAGGGCGCGCCGACGGACGGCGAGTTCCGGCTGTCGGACCCGGACGAGGTGGCGCGGCGCTGGGGCCGGCGCAAGCAGAAGCCCAATATGAATTACGACAAGCTCTCGCGGGCGCTACGCTACTACTACGACAAAAATATTATGACTAAGGTAAGCAATGCCGTGAGCAGTCTCAATTTAACCGAATGGTGTTAAATTCGCTTTGATGGGTTCAGTGTTGCATGTTGGGGGTATTGTTGCCTTCAGGTGCACGGGAAGCGCTATGCGTACCGCTTCAGCTGGGCGGGTCTGGCGGCGGCGTGCCAAGCGCAGGCGCCCGACCATCCGCCCTACTGGGCTTATCTCTCACCCTCGCAACCCCCACACCCCGAGGGCGTCTCCACGGGCGCCTCCGGGGCGCCACAGTCGCTGCCTCGGCTGCACCCGCCGCACGCGCCTTCGAACACGCAGTAGTTGCGCAAAAAGCGCCAAGAAAAAAGCTATTTCTTTGTGAAATGTGACAAAAACTAGTATATACAAGTCACTTGAAAATGCCATGGGGTGTGTACTCCAGTTTAGTCATCAAGAAGTGACGAATCCTCGTTTATGCCTCGCTGAATTAACACTGGACCAGGGACACCACCGCTTTTCCTTTAAGTTCCACTATAGAAAGTAAACTACGGCTTGTTCCCGCGCGCGGTGATTTCGCGTTAATAAGCTGTACCTACGATTTCTCTCAGGTACATATCTCCATCTAATATGTGTAATAAACATTCAAATTAGTTTGCAACGCGGAAATGCGTGCGTGTCAGCGACAGGCCTATTCTAAAATATTTAAAGTAGGTACGCGTTGTGACATTCACTAGTGTCTGTATTAATGCTTGTAAGTATGTTAGATACAGATATAGTATCTGTTTCAATTTCTTTGTGCATAATTCCTTTTAGAATCATACAAATCTTTAAATGTACCTTCAGTAAAATATACGTAATATAAAATAGTCAAACATTTGACGTTACTCAAAATGGCCAATGAAGTTCCATTCCCCTACTTTAAATCATGTGTATTAATTAATAATGTATATGTATATATAATTGTATATTGCCAGTCGGTGTTTAAGTTACCTTTACCTTTACCTTTTTCACCTTTATTCTGTTGAGCTGTATACACACTTATATACCTGCCCGTATTGGGACGTTAACAACGATGTTTATTATTTTTTCATTAATTAATTTTTAGCATTTATTGCCTTCAACAATCGGCATATTATAATATATGATAATTGCAATGACTCTAGGTATTTAGAGTTCCTTTGTTATTTTATGAGTTTTATGTTGTTTTGACGTTGTACATTTTGTTTATCTATTTAGGTTTTCTTAATAATACAATGCTACTAAAATTAGTTCGCTATGGAGTAAATAATTTTGTTAACATATTGTTCAAATAATGTAAATGTAAATTAAATAAAGTTCCTTGTAATTAAGTGATTCGTTTATTTTATTGTTCCTTCCAAAATACTACGACGCGTTGCGCAAATTCGATACTTAGTGCTATACATAATACTAGTGTTACTTATTAATGTGTGATGCTTCTCCATTGATTGGCTGCGAGCGCAATTTATTGACTATGCGTATAAATTTAAAAATGCATAATTTGAATTGGATTTTTAAAAGAACATTCTTTGAAATAGCCCATTCCGTGTCGAATGTAGCTTATGATGGTGAATCAAAAACCGATGGATGAGGTTACTAATACACGCATAAAAGTAACATCTAAGTAAGGTTAGGGACCCTAACAAAATAATTATGTGAGTTTTTGGACTGTTTTATTTATTTATTTAGCAAACCAACAGGCTTCCACATGATTTTGATTACTATAGAGATTATAATTTGTAGAGTAGATTCTTATGGGTATTCCAATTATAGGCAAGCTCCTAAGTGGAACAAAATGCTGACTTACAGAATTATAAAAATACGCGAGCATATCATAAACCTACACTTTGTTGTTCTTTGTAAAAATTTAAAAATAAGTTATTTAATCGATTACCTGTAACTATCGTAAAAATAGGGTGGTTTGCATTAATATTAGATATAACTACACTATGTGGTTTTTATTTCGTTATTCTATCTATACGTGTAAAATGTATCAGTTTGCCGGGTTCTCTTTTTGTTTTGTTTAAAGTATATTTAAGGGAATATATATTAGATATTGTTAATTTTAAATAAGTATTTTTTCCTTATATGTGTAACTATTATTCCCGCAATAAAATAAAAAACTGGTTGATGACTGTACCACCTCAGTCAACCGTGACCATGGGACCTGTAAACGGCGAAAGTGTAAAGGTGGGTCGTGGGTCAAAATATCTACGTCTCTAGCTGTTTTTTAAATAGAGTATTGAATTCGTTGCATACTATAATTAAATGGATGAGTACAATCATCGAGGACAGAACTGTTGCAACTTACATTTGTACAACAAATTAGAGCTGTGAGCCTAGAGCCAAGAGTCATTTGTATGTATGATACCTAAGAAGCTGGTGAGTGGTTTTTGTCATAATTTTAACAATAAGCGTGTATAACATTTTAGTCAGTTGCAAGAAAATGATGCCATGTAGACCGGCTGATTATTTTTGGTTACACTCATGTCAGTTCTACGGCATATTATACACCATCCAGCTAAGTACATTAGTCTGCTTAGCCAAACAGAGCTTTATCAAATTTCGTGATTAAAATAAATGGTCAATATTATTTGGAAAATTCAAGAAATTTTTCAAAAAAAATTGATTTTAAATACTGACCAGAGCCACCGATGCATTGTGTTCAGAGCTGGGCTATTTACGTTATCATTACTAAAATTAGATCAGTAAAATTTGCCAATTTGTAATGGCACTTAGTACCTAATTATAGACATAGACATACTTTTATTGGCATAATACAACAACACAAAACCATATAAAAAACAGTTTGCATACAAATAATTATTTGACATATAATTACGACTAAAATTAAAATAAACATATAAAGTAGATAGTCTGATATGGTCCGTGTTGCAGCGTCATGCCAACACGGGACTCAACTCAGCATGTACAGCAGTAACGTACCACAGCGCTGGTTTCCAGTAAGCCCGTAGAGCTTGAAGCCAGCAATAAACACAAAATAAAAATATATAAATACTGCTACATATTAAATTGACAATAGTCAATACAAATATACGCGATTTAAATCCGGAAAAATAGTTTCATTTCGGAAAAATAGTTTCATTTCATATTATTATATAAATAGGAAATATATAATAATATAAATAGGAAATGAAACTATTTTTCCGGATTTAAATCGCGTATATTTGTTTGTTTTTTCAAACAAACCGACGTTTCGGGCCCTTTACAGGTTCCATGGTCACGGTTGACTAAGGTGGTACAGTCTTCAACCAGTTATGTCTAATATTAATGCAAACCACCCTATTTTTTCACTATAGTTACAATAGTTATTAATTAAATGCCTTATTTTTAATTTTACAAAGAAAACATTCCAATTTACGCTACATTAAGTTTTACAAATTATTTTATTGAATGAATTTTTATTAAGTTTAATTTATTGTTAATTATTAATAGAAATTAGAATAAACTAAAACATATTAATTAGTACTGCAGTCTTATGTCTGTTTTGGTTTTTTCATTAGAGGAAATACTGGATCCCAAACTGGTGGTACGGAGAAACCCTCTTCCCTGTTGAAATTAGATTAGATTAAAATAGTTTCATTTCCTATGTGTAACAATCGCGAAAACCTAAGAACTCGATATATTATACAAATTATAATTCATACGTAAATAAACATATATAAAAGCAAGATAAGACAAATAATGATTATATCAAAACTCTTACATACTAAGATCCAAATATAATGCGACTATAGGGTTATACTCTGTCAGCGAACCCTTTACCTCGAAAATGCAGGAACAACACGACCACCCGCGGGCAAATCGGCCTGATATGATGATAATAGCTTTTTAATTTTAATTTTAAAAGATATACTGAATATTTTAACCTTTTTAATAAAAAAAAAAACAACCTCATAGTTTGCTTTTCGGCTTTTTTATTGGAATTACACCTGGTAAATAGGTGAAAAAGTTCTATTGGAATCGGTTGAAGGAAAGTGCGCGAAACCGGATTCATCCTCTAGTTTGCCACCCTTAGAGGTGAATATTTTCTTCAAATTTAAATGGGACCAATACTGAGGTATATACCCTCTTTCCACCAAAAAACAATCATCCAAATTGGTTCCCAAATACCGGAGTTATCGCGTAACATACATACAAAACAATACAGTCGAATTGACAACCTTCAATCAATAACATTTTATCTCATATCACAAAAGATGACTCCAATTTTTTAAATAATTTTTGCTGGGTTGTAAACAGGTTATCTTCGAGTTTTGGGACAGCCCGTGTAAAGCAATTGATGGTTTGTGAGTAGTGGCTACTGTGCCTTGTTCTTCTTTTGCTTAGTTATATTTTTATTATTTAATATCATTAGTGGTGTCCGTTGCAGTTGCATTCACTGCAGGAACGATGTAATGTACATTTGGGTTTTGTTATGTGTATGTTTCAAGTGGCGAGTCAAATAATATAATAACATCTCTGTGTCGAAAGTCAGTGCGCAGTAAAGATTGTGGGTTGCAGTCTAGCTGAGATAAATTATAATTTCACGGGCACTAATATGGGGCTAAACCATAAGTGGGAATTCCTTGACAGGACTGGCGCATGGCGGGCGGTGGCCGAAGATAGGCGACTGCGGTGCGGTGAAGCGGGAACAACGTTGCCGCATGGCCTTGCCGAGGCGGACGCGCGGTGCGATAGCGGCCCACGCACGCGCGCGTCGCTGCTGCGCAACATTTGGAGTCATTTGTTATTATTGTACTTAATTTCGTGTTATACTTTTATGAAGAAGGCATCTACTACAATCGTAATTTACTTTTTTAGTATACCGCTATTTAATAACGGAGAGACCTTTAAAAAACTGCAGGGCGTTACATGGCTCAAAGAAATCAGCCCCGTTCCTTTCTACATAAATTTTGATTATAGTGACTCTCCCTACCGATTCTAAGGGTATTCAAGAAGGGCACTATAACCTATGCAAGCCCAGGAACCTTCTCAGTCCGGTCCCGACGACCACAAATCAACCCGTTTGCATTGACTTCATCCGGTTCTCAGAAGGCTAGTGCCTTGGGTCAGCTGTCCCGGATACAACACCCCCTTATTTTCCAGATAGATATTTCGCTACTAATGGTTGCCATTGCCACCGCTAAGCCGTCGACTCTTAAGTCTACGACATTGTATTGCACGTTTTTTTGCTGTATAAATCCGAACCGAATAAACAGTGGTGCATACATTAGATATTTATTTTTATTTTTTATTTATTTATTTATTTATTTCAGGCAACTAGGACCCATAGATACATACCTTACAGACTAACATACATATAATATAACGATAATATAATAAAACAATAACAGAAATATTAAATAAATACCTTAAATACAATATAACATGATAATATACATATAACACTATTTATTTACACGTATGTACTTCGACGTGTGACGCAACGTGGGTGTCCGGTAGCCGTCCTCGGAAACGCATGACACCCTTCGGCCAAAAGCCTTCTCTCATGAAGGTCGACAGGTGTTGAGTTGGTACTCGCACCACAAATGTATTAAAATTCACGTTGTGGCGCGACTCCAACCGCTCGACCCTCAGGTTTGCATTGGCCTTCACTCGCATGTACTCCACAATATCTGCAGACTTGGTGGAGTAATGAAGACGCGACACGTATAACAACGTCGTCGGTACCGCTGGACGCAATAAATGATTCGGGCCAGTCAGGGCGGTGCCACTAAGGTTTCGGCTGATGTTCTTCTTTTTCTTTTCCACCTTCCGAAAGCCGTCCTCGTCGCACTGATCAACTCGTCTCGGTGGTACTGACGACGCAGCTCCAGATACGAGTTTCTTTTTCAGTTTTCCCTTCATTGGTTGCCTGGGTTGTGATTGTGGAGTACTGGGTCGGGCAGCGGCAACAGCTGCGTAATCACGTGAAGGGGTCGTCTCCGGCGGGGCGGGGTGCGGGGAAACGCGCGCGGCAACAGCGCCAGAGGTCGGTGACACATGCATGTCAGCCGACTTAAAACTGCTGAAAGAAGCATTTTGCGCCCCGCGACAAGTGTTCACGTTGCAGGCCTCAGGTGACCTACTTACCGAAGCCGCACTACTAAGTAATGCAACTTGGGCACGCAACTCACTGATGGTGTTGTCTGAGGCCTCCAACTTACACTGAACTTCAGCAAGGCTTGCTTTTAGGGACGTGATGTCCTTCAGCAGCCTGGTGACGTCGACGTGGTCGAACGTGGCAGGGGGCAGCTTATGCAGCTCCTTCGCCACGAATGCAGGCACGTCGTCTGGGTCGGTCTCCTTGAACAACGTAATGATGTCCTGGAGACTCTTCACTCCTCCATCTCTCCGACGAGACGGCATCTGCTCGGCTTTGCCAAACGTCCGGAAAAGCAGCGCCTTGCCACTGCAAATCTCTTCTTCTTTGAAATTTGACTTGCAGATCTGCACGATGCTGACTTCGTCCATGGTATCTATGGCGTGTTGTATAAACGCCAACAGTTCGTTGGCTATGAGTTGCTGAGAACCCATAGTCAATTACGTGCAGCGGCTATTGCCGCGCAGGTCGCGAATTATTATAATTCTTATTGTGTAGTGGAGCACGTCCGAATCCGAGCGTGCACCGCACCACACTGATGATATAGAACCGTTTGTCCTGCAAAAAAACGCACATACATACAAACGCATTCAAAAACTGCAACTGCGCGAGGCGTCACGTCTCCCTCGCCTTAAGCCCTCGTCTAGACCGCTACTAAGAAGTGCTAAGTTCCGGGGAGCCCGTAGTCTCCTCGGAACTCCTTATCTCTCGGGTTAGTAGATATAGGGCCTATAGACCAGTTCAAGTCTTATTAATTGCTTATTTAAAATAACTCATCGCTTGCGTTTTGCAGTTTTTCAAAGAAAGTTATAATTTTTTTTAAATTCTAATGTAAGTGTGCATTTGACCTCAATCTCACCTGATGGAAAGTGACGATGAGGTCGACGATGGAGCATGTAGACCTAAATAATGACTATTCACTCTCGCCTTAAAAAGGTTCAAGTTATAACGTTCAGGGAAGAAGTCTGCAGGCAGGGGATTTCCACTCAATAGCCGTTCGCCATATAAATGTGGAAGCGTAACGCTTCGTTGCGAATCTTTGGAATATCCACAAGATAGGGGTGGAAGCCAAGCCTACGCCTAGTCCCCCGAGAATGGAAAGGGGAAGGCGGAATTAAATCGTGTAAATCCGTCGCACACTCTACGTGAAATATCCTGTAAAATACCGATACGCAGGCAACTTTACGGCGGTGTTTAAGGCTCTGCAGCTTCGCCTCTACTAATTCCGAGTCACCTATAAGCCTCTTGGCACGCTTGTCAATTGAATCCAAGGTGGCCAGTTGGTATGTAGCAGAGTCATCCCAAAGATGGCAGCAGTACTCCATACACGACCGGAGTTGTGTTTGATACAGCTGAAGCAACTGTCCCGGTGTGAAGTAACGCCTCACCCTGGAAAGGATGCCAAGCTTCCTGGCTGTATTTTTGGCCATGGATCAATGTATTTGCCGAAGTTAGATTGGACGACAGGTCCATTCCAAGTAGCTGGAGACGATCGGCTATCGGTATGGATATGTCACGAAAAGCTAGAATCAGCTCAAAGGGACTCCGTTTGGGGTAGAATAGATACGCCTGCGTTTTGGTAACGTTAAATTTGACAATATTGGCATCGCCCCAATCACAGACTGCCTGGAGCGTCAAATCTAAACGGCTAACCATGGACTCTTGACAAGACTGGATTTCTTCTTCACTGACCCTTGCATTGGTCAAGTACCTATCTACAACTGTGCTGTCATCAGCATAGACAAAGGTACCTGGAATTAACATATCATTGATATGCAGCAGAAAGAGAGTTGGAGACAGTACGGAACCCTGAGGGACTATCGCCATATGTTCGGAAGAGTAGCTTTCTAAGACCACTCGAATCGAATGTTCGCTCAAGAAATCCGAGATCCAATTGCATAGGTCAATGGGAAGCCCATAACATGGAAGCTTGCTTAAAAGCTTGCGTGTCAGACCCTGTCAAAGGCTTTAGATGTCCAAAGACAGTGCAAGTGCTTCGCCTTGCTTTTCTATAGCCTCGCTCCACATGTGACAGGCATACACAAGAAGATCCCCGGTAGACAGGTAGATAGATAGATTCCATACTGGCGATCACTGAGGAGGTCATTGTCTTCAAGGTATGACAGACGACTGTTGTTGAGTACACGTTCCATATTCTTGCAGAGTATGGAAGTGACTGAGATATGTCTATAGTTGACAGGGTCAGCTCTGCTACCCTTTTTGGGCACAGGTTGCATATCAAACGATACCTCTACTTCTGTTCTTCGTCTTATTGTATCGATGGCTTAGGATATTCGCTGATTATTGCCCAAGGTGCGTACAGAAAAGGAATGGTGCGTCGTGCGCGGAGGCTATTTTTTTTTCTCTAACATCATTGCAAAGTTTAAAAATAAGGCTAGCACACAAAATGCTGATGTTCTCTGATGGAAGAGAGCTTTGTAGCATCCATCGGAGCGTCGCCAGGGAGGCGTACGCGCATGCGGCAGTGGTTGCGAAATGGCGTCGCGAACAACAACGTTGCTGCTACTCTTTTCTCTCTCTTGTGGTGAGCTTTACTGGTACTTGAGTTCCTCTTATTGGTGTTATAATTTGTGTTCTTCGTGATCTGCACATTTAGGTTGGACTGCACAACATCAGATTGTGTGTCGTGTGTTTCACGAAATCGAAGCAACAACTCGACTTTTTGAGTCATAGCAAGTCTTAGACAATCTAAGCATGCATAATTACTATATTTGTTGATAAATCCGACGACCTCCTTGGTCGAGTGGCTTGCACACCGATTTTCAAGGTGTCGCCATCTCTGAGGTCCCGGGTTCGATCCCCAGCCGGGTCAATGTAGAAAAGCTTTTCTATATTGTCTCGGGTCTGGGTGTTTGTGGTACCGTCGTTGTTTCCGATTTCTATAACACAAATGCTTTAGTAACTAACTTTGGGTTCGGAGCAACGTATGTTATGTTGTCTAATGATGTTGTTGTCTAAATCCATTTCTGTTGAATTTGTGTGTATAAGCATTTGAACTAAGTTAAAATTATGTCGCGATTAAGCTGTAATTATGGCCTTCAGTATAAAGAATTGTAATCGTATCATAATTAAGACAAAGAACGAAGTTACTATAAGTGGGAACAATGGATTTGAGCTTGCAACAGGAAATCGCAAAAATATGTAGGTGTTCGTAGACACATTGTATTTTTGTCAATAGCGTGGCGTGAGACGCGCGGCGCGTGTAACGCATCGTGGGCATCGGCACAGCTAGATGCGCTGTTGGCGGAGTACGACCGCGAGGCGTTACCATCGCCAGCGCCTGCGCAGGTTCAGCTTGACCTCGACGTGCGACACGCCGTCGTCATGGAGCGGGACTCTACTGTTAGACTGTTGGCAGATTTACGGCTGGTTAGTACAGACTTGTGACGAGTGACCTCCAAACGTCCAAAAAATTTGTCGTGTGGTGCATTATTTTTTATAATACCAAGTGACGGGACAAACAAGTCGTGGGATTGGTGGTAAGCGACACGCTTGTCCATAACAGTTGCAGTGCCACTCAGAGCTTTAAAACGCAAATATGGTACTGCCATTGTGCCCATCAACCCTGAGACATAAGTTGACAAAACCCATGTGCCTGTAATTTCACCAGAACACTTGCCCTTCCAAACCGGGACCCAGTAATGCTCACATTACTGCTCACCAGCAGAAATAGCTACGAAACGATTGCATGTGTAGGGGAGAGCGGGGTTGAACGTTCCGATTTTCAAATAATTTGCAGTTTTATACTGAAAATGAAGGATTTGATTTTCAACATGTGGAAATGTTGAACAAATGTTTATCGCTTTTTTATCGCTTTTTGTAATAGTATAGTCACTTCTACTAATATCTCAATAGTCTTTTTCATAGAGGCTAATTTTTGACAAATTTCGGAGCGGAACATTCAGCGCCGCTCTGGGGCGCGTTGTTCCGCCTTTGAGGCAAATTGTTCCGCCTGAGTTACCACAGAATAAAGATTTTCTTAAATAAAACAACCTTTTTTTATAATTATATGTATGTAATGTATATATTATGCACAACTAACTTAAAAAAAATACATTCTTATTCATCAGCAATATTATTCATCGATCATTTTTTCATCTGAATCACAGTTGAGACACACATAAGTGACTCTGTCATCTTGTCTAAATATTTGACATGAGCCCGTTTGTAGTTTGGCATCCCTAAAATAAAGAAAAATGGTCATAAAAATTTTAAGCATAATCGCAGGCCAATGGGGAAGTTGTTCCAAGGAACAACCAGCCCCTCGAGAGAGGAACTTATAGCCCCAAATTACATTTTTATACGAAGACTGACATACCGGCAAAGTAATAGAATCAATCAAAAAAATACTCAAACAGTAAGATTCCTTACTAATGTCACTGCAATTTAGAAAAGTTACGTATGAATCGGCCCACAATAAACAAAGACGACGAAAAAATTTACTTACGTGATATTTTGACAGCTCCACGCACATAGCCACACGTCGTCGCCGGAGTTACTGAAATGGCTGCCGGCAAGACGCATCACCTGACGCTTTAACGACGCGCTTCACATGTATTGCTACATATTATTTTCCTTGCAAAGTTATTGCTGTGAGAACAACTTACCTCGGGAACTACCAGTCCCGGTCTCCCCTACAATATCTGTAGTGTACAAAAGGAACAAAACAGATCCAAGGAATGGATCCTTGAAGAACTTCTCTGGCAACAGTGACGGTGTATTGGACATCAGAGGCCCATCCTCTCCACGGACTTCCACTTGCTGAATACGACAGCAGTGAAAGCTATTTAAACTAATTAACAGTACTAACAGTCGACGTCGAAGTATCTATTTCAGATTCAGATACAGACAAAAATACAAGTTAATTAGATAAATATAGGGTAACTACGTTACAAAACAACAAAATAAGAACAGCAAAAATATGAAATAGGTATTTAAACCAATCTTGCCTTTTATTTACCACACACAACAATACAAGACAGAACATAATAACAATAGCATCAGAACAATAACATTGCGTGGGAGGAACTCCGTTCAATCCTTGTGGCTGTGTGTCACGCGTTACAGATTTTCAGCCTGGCCTTGTTGACTCATTGTTTTTCTAACATAAACTAATTCAAGTGCGTCCCCGTCACGATAAACAAGGTATGAGTTCTTTCACACGTTATGTGGTAATTTTGCGCAGTGTCAACCACTGTTGCAGCCAGAGTTATTGTACTTAGATAGATACGGCGTGTAGGTCATGAAAGCTGATCAGTAACCAATGTGACGGATGATTATTAAAAAAAAACATGACTTTTACCCTATTGTGACAGAGCTATGTTAAGCGGTGGACTATTGTGTATTAGCAATGAACACTTAGCGCATCGTATTACAGAAGTGGAAAGATAGTCGGCTTTCTTGGAACGCGAGTGAGTGGGGTTGCGAGTCGACCTTGGCATCGGCCGAGCGGCTGTGGCTGCCCGACGTGCAGCTGCTGAACGCGGCTGAGACTGTTGTCGGCGATCCGCTGCGGGCGCGCGTACATAGCGACGGCTCTGTCGCGTGGATTTCGCGCCTCGACCTCTCCACGCCGCTCGCCATGCAACTACAAGATTGGCCTAGCGATACCCAGACGTGCGTCTTCAAATTTGCGTCCCGAGCGCACACTATTGAAGAACTAGACTTGTCTCTAAAGGACTCATCGGTACAAATTTAACCAATACGTTTCTTCCTTTTAGAGCTACTCGACTGTGCTTGAGCTTATCAATATTTGTTATTCAGTACGCGACGGTGTTCGAAGCCAGCGCATGGGAGATCGTGTCCCTATCGGGTTCGGTGGACACGTGGCAGGCGGCGGACGGGACGCGGCGCGTAGGCACGTACGGCGCGGCGCTGCGCCGGCGGGCGCCCGCGCACGCGCTGGCCGCTGCCGCCGTGGCCGCCGCCGTCGCGATGCTGCTACTCGCCGCGGCGCTGCTGTCGCCACAAGATAGGGCGCCGCTCTGCGCTTGCGCTGCATTTACCACTTGTTTGTGGTGAGTATTGTGCACGCAGTGCCGCTGCCACCTTTGGGACGGCTCTGCTCGATAACAGCTCGTTGCCTTATTAGTAACGACGCTTTTGTGAAGTCGAAGCAACAAAATGTTGACTTTCATGTTTCACTTTCATTTTTTCATGTTTCCTCCTTCGCTACTAGACTTCTGGAACACTTCATTCGTACGTTATTGATACGTATATACAGCTCATTCCACGAAGCGCTTCGCTTTCTCCTTCCACGCAATAGGAAGCCCATAGCTTAAGAAATGGAGTACATGGCCGGCATTTGTGTTTCTTACACTACTACAATTTAGTAATGGGCATGATAGAGGTAAATGCGTAACGTCGTCGAGCGTCGGTGATGTCGTGCTCATGTTATACATACGAGCGTCCCGCTACGTCTACGGGACACGAAGGGAAGTACTCTAAATATTGTAGATAGGATATTTCGCTTCATGGAGACTTATTTTACTCAAAAGCAAGTAATCTGCACCGAAAGGCTCCCGAAAGTCGCTCGCCTCGTCCGGGAATCGAATCTACCAAATGTAAAAAATTGCGAAAAGCTCCCGCAGCCGGGACGCGAGACGCGCGAAGAACAGAAAAGACTTGTTTAAACGA